TTCTGACGCGAAATGGGCTGGTGAAAGTGCGAAAAAGTGCGGAGGTGCAAGAGGGAGGAGGAGGAAGGGGTATGGTGCAGGGCAACAAGGGCTGGTCCTATCAAAAAGCGGATTGGGGCAATGGACAGAGCCACTGAGGGATGGTAAATGGCCAAAAGAGCTAGATGAGACAGGCCTTTGAGCACCCAGAAAACCCTTATCTCCCCTCAACTTCTCAAAAACACCAAAAACTCGATATCTCCACAACTACTGCTCCAATTTCGATGAGCCAGGGCTCAAAATGATCGTACGGACGTGGGGAATACGACCCTAAGTTTGCGAGAGATCCGCTCGAAAAACGCGTGGGAAAAATGCTTATCAATGCGCTGGGGAGGAGGAGGAGATACTGAAAAGTGGGAATGTGGGAGAAGCTGGTAATGAATGACTGTGGTTGGATAATAGGCGAATTTGGGGGATGATTGGAGAGCTTGGAGAGCCTAGAAACACAAGAAACCCTCGCGGTGGGCTCCAGTTGAAGGTACAACAATTCAGATGGTGAGTCTGAACAATGTTGGGTCTTGCAGAACCTAGCTGCTATTCGACCCTAAAGGGTTTCTGGACCAGGCTCAAGGCTCAGAGGAGAGGAAATATCATAGAAAACTACTGAGCACTCAGACTCATACTGGTAACTGGTGAAAAGATTGATTGCTTATGTAAGCTACAAAAGTGCCAACATAAGGTAAGGTAAAAACAGTCTCTACAAGCCCAGCCAGAAATGAATCCCTACAGCGAGTTGGGCACTTGGAAGGCCCTATTCACTCACCTCATTAGGATTCTGTATGCACTTCCGAATGGAAATCAGTTGGTCGCAATTGTAGACTCAAGGTAAGTAGAATTTGCATATTGCTTCTCAGTGTCTCTTAACAAGCAGCAAACTCTATCTCATCATAGATTTCGGCAAATCCCAACTTTCGGCAACGGGGTGATCAGAATGTTTTCTAATAACACGTCCGAGATGAAGAGACTCGCGGCACAAGATTTTGAAGACATATTGCAGGTGCCTACTACTTTACTCGACTACTTATACCTAGTTCGCTGACGGCCTCTTTTCAGTGTGCAATACCTGTATTCGAAGGGCTGTTTCCCGCTAGCCATGACATGGTGGTGCAGTCTCTGTTGTTTAGATTCGCTCAGTGGCACGCACTTGCTAAATTAAGAATCCATTCAGAATCAACACTCTCTTTTTTCGAGGACACGTTCAAGAAGCTCTCAAAGCAGTTGCGAAAGTTTCGTGACTTTACCTGTGCTGTATTTGACACTGTGGAATTGCCAAAAGAGAAGGCGGCTCGCCAACGAAGGGTCGCCCAGCGTGCTGGACCTAATAGTATCTCTTCGGATTCTGGCAGACCAAGGGTGAAAGTATTCAATTTGAACACCTACAAATTCCACGCAATGGGAGATTACCTGCGAACCATCAAGCTCTTCGGTACTACGGATTCGTTCACCACTCAGATTGTAAGCATCATTTCCTATCCTCAAGGATGCTTCGAAACTTACTTTATTGGCTAGGGAGAGCTGGCCCATAGGGCCCTTAAAGCATTTTATCCACTAACTAGCAAAGTAGATACTCCAGCACAGCTAGCAAAGCACGAGCACAGACGTCGGGTACTACGGCGAGCTGCGGAAGCAGCAGGTATCTCCTCCTCAAACCAACAATCACCGGCTGATTCTCGCGCTTCATCATTGTCCAATGACCATCATTTCATCGCGATCAATGGCAACAATCCGGTGTCTTTGTTCACATTCCTCCGGGAGCACGATGGCGACCCAGCTACCAAAGTAAAATTAGCATTTCTTTTCAGCTGATCGTTGGTTCGCTTATGATGGTTTTCAGGACTTTATCCCGAAACTCAAGGATCACCTTTTGTATCGGCTAAAGAAATTAGATGTCACTCATTGTGACCGCACATTCACAAATGAGGAACGAAACTCGATCATTATTCCTAACAACACCATCTACTCGGTCCAGACGATGCAAATATACTACACTACCTATGATATGCGACGTGAATACGATACTATCAACCCCAGGACACATGCAGATGTCATGGTACTTTCAGGAGAAATCCTCACCGAGCCACCCATACTGGTATGCTCGTGTGCTAGGTATCTATCACATCGACGCGTGGCTCGAAGGGGTTTGTCGAACCGAGAAACAGCACATCGACGTTCTGTACGTTAGGTGGCTTGCACCATTTGTATCTTCAGATTACGAGTCGGGCATACAGCACGCTCGCCTTCCCAAATTGGCCTTTGTGGAGGAATCGGACCACGATGCATTTGGATTTCTTAATCCAGGCCAAGTGATTCGCGGAGCTCATCTGATTCCTGCCTTCGCGTCAGGGCGCGGTGTAAGTTCACTTCGCTACGGAAGATCATTAGCGCGTCCCAAAGAGGAATTAACTGACTGGGAAGCATATTATGTCGGGATGTGAGTGTAATGCGTCTTCTTCCTGCTTAGTGTCACTTACCCGTTCGAGCTAGTTTTGTCGATCGGGACATGTTCCTGCGTTATACATCTCTAGGTGTAGGACACCCAGTGGCTTTGCGGAAGATTGTCAGAGACTGTTTTGGTCTGGAGTCAGCTGCACTGACAGTAGAAGCTATGGACGTTGATGAAGACGGAAGTGATAATGAGGGTCACGATGACCTACGGATGGATGATGGCCTTGGTGGAGAGGAGTCAGATGACATTGAAGATATTGGCATTTTGAAAGAGGGAGATGAAGGAGAGGAGGACGAAGGAGAGGAGGACGAAGGAGAAGAGGAAGAAGGAGAGGAAGACGGGGAGGAGTTTGATGACTCGGATGAGCCTGATGACCTCTCATTTTGAGATAGGAAATATTTTTCCGACATGTCACGTATATAATATCTTTGCTGGCGCACCAATCTTACTCTCCAATTGATTCTCTGTTGCGTTAACATGGAAACGGGTAGTATAGTCACGTGCCTGAGCGATACCTGCCCAAGTGTGGGAAGAACTGAACATGGCACACTGAATGCATCGGCGACAAACTTCAATAGGCGGAAGTGTCGTCCTCTTTGTGCATGACGTGGCTGTATTGGCCATCATCTCCTGTATTGGAATTCAGGTAAGAATGCTTAAGCTGTGATTCTGCACGCCTCACAGAGTAAGACAGATTCTTTATCGCAGGTGCACGGAGGCGCACGAATTTGCCTTGCCCACGACTCAGAGAGCCGGCCGTGAGATGAACTCTCGTCTATCGATCACATTGATACACGCCTTATCCCATCCCAGCTAGGTTTCTTCAATCCCGTGCTAGCCCAATCCCCACTGATCAGGGTGACCGTTGGGGGAGGGTCTTTTTACTCTCTAATGCCCACTATGCCCTTTCCTACCGCGATAGCAACTTGTCAGTGATATCTCAGGCCTTCAGCAACCGCCTGCCGTACCTCCTGTAGCAGCACCACCAGCGCCTCAGGATCAAGTTCATGGACGATTGGAGTCTCCCAATTGGTTGAATATACAATGTTAGTTGATCAACCTTCCAAATATCATTCACATTTGCTAATGCTGACCAGAATGCACCGACTTACTCTATAAAGGTCATTTGACGATTACATGCCGTGACGTTAGTTCTCGAAGGCTTCGCCAGAAGAAGATTTCTCTTGAAGTGTTTTGAGTCCGGCACCAAGTTGTGAGTCTTCAGCTGCAATTCACATCTGCCAATGCTGACCAGAATGTACCGACTTACTCTATAAAGGTCATTTGACGATTACGTGCCGTGACGTTAGTTCTCGAAAGCTTCGCCAGAAGAAGATTTCTCTTGAAGTGTTTTGAGTCCGGCACCGAGTTGTGAGTCTTTAGCTGTAATTCACATTTGCCAATGCTGACCAGAATGCACCGACTTACTCTATAAAGGTCATTTGACGATTACGTGCCGTGACGTTAGTTCTCGAAGGCTTCGCCGGAAGAAGATTTCTCTTGAAGTGTTTTGAGTCCGGCACCGAGTTGTGAGTCTTCAGCTGCATGCTGACATTTGATATTATTCTTATCTGTTCACCGATTTACTGATGTGCATGCCGGTGTTTGGTCTTGAAGCTGTGTCGCAGATCAGTTGCTGGCCCGGGAACTTATAAAGATAGAGATAGCTTAACCTTCCTTCCTAATGTCATCGCCCGCCAGTGCAACCTTGATACGACAAAGTCTCGATCAGACATGTTGCAAGCGTAATGGTCAAGACCGTCAAGAATCTGCGGGACGGTATCAAGAGCCTCGTACGGGTCCGTGTTCAAGTTGTTTCGGGCTACGAGCTACACAATACGTTGACCTTGCAGACGAAAACGGAGATAGTGACCATCATTCACGACCTCCTTCATGGTAATGAGTCGTTGGACCCGTGTCAGAGTCAGCACTGAGGTTTCGGTTGAGGACTAAAGGTAAAGCTTTTTCGATACACCCGGTCAGTGCAGATATCAATTCCAGATTTGAATGAGAACTTCAACGGTAGAGTCCCTGATGAAGAAGCTCGGAAAGTTTCTAACTGCTCATGTGACGGCGAAGCTGATCGTCACAGTGATGGCGTTGATATCATCGAACGCGCCCGGAGACAGTTGGATCAACCGAAGGTGAAAAATTGTCTCACCCCTATGGTGGTTATATGAGATAATGCTCGCGCGATAGCGTTCCCCTCATGTTCGAAGTTATGCAGAGTACTTCCCTTGGGTGTCGCTGCAAAGATATAGGTGTGGTCTTCATTCGTTTTTTCGGGATCTAAATCCGTTTTAGGCCGTTCCTTGCGTGTTCTATCTGGGAGCGGATTATGACCGAGGAGAGCAAACATTATGTTTTCACCATGGACGAGCACTGAGAACTTCAAGGGTATTGCCGACGTTCGCCACAATCAAATGAAGTGACCGTGACGGTTATAGTATATCACACAACCTGCTAACTCATCAACGCACACTCAAACAAGCACGCACGCACGACAAATATCAACATGAACTCAGATAATATGGAGATTGATAGTGTCGAAATTGGTTCGTTCTAATATTCGCGACTGCAGGGAATTCAGATTAATGTACTCGTAGACACCTATCCGATGGACATCGACGAACCACTGGGAGACGTTTCGATGGACAACGATGAAGCCCAGGTAAGCGCGATCACTCTATTTAATTTTAATTCATTCTAATATTTACGATTGCAGGGAGTTTTTTTCGATGTACTCAAAAACTATCCGATGGACGTCGACGAAGAATGGGGACAGGATGTTTCGATCGATGAAGTCCAGGTACGCGATCACTCGTCTGCTTAATTTTAATTTGCTCTAACTTTTATTATTGTAGAAAGATACAAACTACGATTCTATGGACGTCGATGATAACGAAGGTGAAGACTTGATGGAGGTTGATCTGTAGTGCCGCATAATATTTTACTCTTTTTGAATACTAAATGTCAAACGGTGCTCTTCTCTGCGATGTTCCCAAAACAAATGGACTCTCTCGCAAGGAAAATTCTACAGAAACCTCTCGAAATCACCGTTGGCGGGCGTTCTGTGGTCGCCGCGGAGATCGAGCAGATTGTTGAAGTGCGTCCAGAGGAGTCCAAGTTCAATCGCCTCTTGGATATCCTGGGGCAGATGTACAACGAAGACCCTGAGTGCCGTACTCTCATCTTTGTCGACAGACAGGAAGCTGCTGATAACTTGCTCCGCGACCTTATGCGCAAAGGGTACTTATGTATGTCCCTGCATGGAGGCAAGGATCAGGTTGATCGTGATTCTACCATTGCCGACTTTAAATATCTACCGTGCGCTTAAGGCAATTAATGCAGCTGTTCCAAGTGAGCTTGAGGAGCTGGCCAACGGTATGTTTCGCTCCATTATATTCGTGATCTATGCTTATTACGTCGTTAGGCTTCTTGGAAAAGGTCGAGTCTGGGAAGGCGCAAGTTGCAGGCTCAGGATTTGGTGGAAAAGGTCACAGAAGACAAATACCCAGCAACGTCATGGGAAATGCAGACTTTCCTGGCGTACGGCGTGACCACACTACACAAGTGCGTGATTTCTTTTCCACACACTCATTGACCATTTCATTCCCGAACTCCCAGCCCAAGTCTACATAACTCCCTCGGCTACGTCGAGCGCGGCACGGTGGAGCCTGAAAACAGTATATCCCCCAGCCGAAGTCGAAGATGCCTCTGAAATCACTATCCGCTTGTCATCGCGCTATCCATGGCTGGACATCTGTGAGTCACCCAGTATTTTTCATAACGAGTCACCCTGACTGGCGCGTCAGATCCCTCGGTTTACCCTTTTGTTGAGCCATACCCGACGTTAAATAAGACGTGCGAAAGCCCTATGAGCATATCTCAGACTCACTACAAGTCGGAATGTGTGAAAGTCACCTTAGCTAGGTATTACCCGTCATTCGATTTATGTAAGACCTCACCTTCACCCTCGAGTCTGATGTACTGAACCTTTCATTCTAGATCCTGCGGCATATCCACACTTTGACCTGTATCCTACCTTGCCAAAAATCGGGTCCGGAGGTTCGCAACAAGAGGCGTCTGCCAAGGTAAAGCAGGAGACTCAATTCGGTGAATAGTGATTCAGAATCTTTACTCCTTTCAGGACATTGTCGATAGCGTATCAGTTGACCTTGCGGGCACTTACCCATACATTTGCCCTTGTGAGTTGGCTCAAGTGAAAGTGAGCAATTGCCCGATACTTAATTTGCTTCATGTAGATCCTCCCACTTATCCTCACTTTGACCTGTATCCACGTGTTCAGACACATGCATCCCGTGATGACACGGATCTGACGACCAGCAAGTTCATCGCTACGAGTAGCACGTATCCCTTTTTGGTCATTTGTGAGCTCTACATTATGTCCTACTACTCGCTTTCTCACAAAGTACGCAGATCCTGCTGTGTATCCGCACTTCGATCTGTATCCCGCCCGTGCGGCAAAATTAGCAAGTCGGGAGGAGGACATTACCAACAATAAGCTTTTCATTTCGAGCAGCACGTACCCCTTATTGGTCATTTGTGAGTTTTACATTATGTCCTCTTACTTGCTTCTCACGGAGTACCTAGATCCTGCTGTGTACCCCCACTTCGATCTGTATCCCGCCCGTGCGGCAGAATTGACGAGTCGGGAGGAGGATATGACCAATGGCAAGTTCTCTGTTCCAGTGTATCCCTTCCTTGTCGTTTGTGAGTTCCGCATTCAGTTTTTTCTTAGCCATCTTCTCATAGTGTATGTAGATCCTGCCGTGTATCCGCACTTCGATCTGTATCCTGCCCGCGCGGCAGAATTAGCGAGTGGGGAGGCGGACATAACTAACAGCAAGCCTTCCGTTTCGAGTAGCACGTACCCCTTCTTGGTCATTTGTGAGTTCTACATCACGGTTTTTTCCCTTTTCTCACAGAGCATGTAGACCCTCGTGTGTATCCTCACTTCAATCTGTATCCCACTCGCGCTGCAGAGCTAGTGACCCGGGAAGAGTCCAACATTCTTCATGTGACTGCTAGTCCCCCTATCTCGTGATCTGTACGTCCTTCAATTATACTGCAAATGCTACCCAAACTAAATTAGCACGAAGAGACCAAGGCAAGGCTGGCATGGGACGACCCTAAGGCTAACCGTGGTTATGTTCAAGTTGGCCGTGAGCGTGTCACCACTTCAATGGATGCGGCCGAGATCGCTGTATTACGCGCAAAGGCTCCAGACACCAAGGAATCTATGGAAATCGGATGTGAAAATCATCCTACGTTCAGTAATAAGTGGCCTCAGGAAACTGAAGTACCTAGATTTAAGCAGACGATGCTCCACTTTTTCCAGGTACGTGCACACAGAAATTTGCACGCATAATGATTTGACCCTGGGTCTCTGTTACCATAGACTTTCCACGAAGTGCACACTATGGTCATGAAATCGATTGCGTTGGGTCTTGACCTTCCTGAGGATTTCTTCGACAATAAGATCGATCGTCAGGACCATAGCTTACGGCTTTTGCTATTCGAACCTCTTTACTTTTAGGCGACGGTCAAGCCAGGGCCGCTTCTCACACAGGCGAGTCCGTTCCTTTTTAGTGACACTCAGCCGTCGAATTTGACTTGCTTTGTCTCTTAGATTACGGAACTTTGACACTCTTGTTCCAGGATTCCATTGGCGGTTTAGAGGTCCAGAACCCTCATACTAAGCATTATCAACCTGCTTCACCCATCGTTCGTTTTCTTCTCCTCGGCTTGCTCTTCGAGTTTTTAACTCTCTATCTCCATAGCCTGGAACAATTGTTGTAAACGCTGGGGACCTTTTGGCGCGCTGGAGTAACGATGTTCTCCGTTCAACTCTCCATCGCGTAGTTGCCCCGCCTGCAACGAAGATCAACGCTACCGAAGGCATGACGCCCGCACGGCAATCAATTGCATTCTTCTGCAACCCGAATTTTGACGCTATCATCGAGAGTTTGCCCACTTGCACGAGCACATCCAATCCAAGCAGATATCCTCCACTTACTACGGAGCAATACATTGTAGGACGTTTGGCAACTACTTACTCATGAAATACGCTCAGACACGAAATTCTGACGGTCAAGTATCGTATATTATTTATAGTGCAAGCAACGACATACATTACGATTCGTATGCAGGGTGGTGTCCAGATGACCGAGTATGTATGCAAGAAAGCATCGTTCGGTCCACAGTTCATGGATAAGAGCATGTATACGACATGAAGTGGGTGAAATGCAAGATGGTGCAATCGATAATTGTTACCGTATGGCAGTCAAGTCATGCTCAGACTCGGAGGTCTTCTTTCTGTACACTAGTGGGGCAACGCCAAAGCCACTTCCCGCGAGAAGGTCATGGATGACCTCAGATAACATCTTAATTTAGAAGAAAAAAGAAAACAGTAAACGACGTTGAGAGGAATGTGCTACCATACCTCATGTGTTGCGATGGCGCCATGTCACGACTTTGTGATGGACTCTAATAGGAATATAAGTTAGATGAGCAGTGCTAGAGCTACTTATCACGATAATGTCTTGAATAGTGTCGTAATTCAACATATAAATAAGGCAAAACGACAATGCTCGAAATAATTGGCACAAGCGAACTATCGCCCCCCATCTACTGCAAGGGCGCAATCTGACGACATCGTCGTGGATTGCTCATGTCACTCTGCATTTACGGATCTCAATGGCCATGTATCTACAAGTCAAATTTCTCGCAGTATATATGATATTATTTAGCAGGAACAGAATTGGATCCTTCTATAGTTCTCACGGCTACAATATCAAGGAATCATCAATTTACTGATGAACGGTACTACTGGTCCATTCACGAGGTGCTACAGGGCCGAATTTTGGAATAAGATGTACACTCCTGCAAATATCAGAAATGTCAATGATGCTTGCCAGACGCTCTCCATTACGAATGAGGCGGGAAATTTTATACAAACCATGGTTTGCTTCAGGCTGCCCGAATGGCGTGAACCATTCCACATATGCAAAGTGGGTAGGCAAAATTCCAGGTGTGCGAAATAAGGCAGCTGTAGCCTGGCTTGTCAGCGTGAAGATGATGCGCACTTGTGCAACACGATACCCTGATATTGATGATCAAATATTAGCATGATGTTACAAGGGATTAGTACAAAAAACACGCACCATCAACACCTGTCGTCCCACCACCATCTTCGTTAACTAAAACCGTGTCGAAGCGCGCAGGAACTATCTGCCTTCTTTTGTCCTTTCGTGGTGGCTGACAGTGCACTGAATCCACGGTAACGGTTGAATCACGATGTCCGTGAGCATTGATTGCGTGGAACTTGACCCTATGGAATGCGGCAACAGTCTGGAAGGGAAGGATGACATGGGAAGCTTCTTGTTCAAGTTGCACTGGAGAAAGGCCAGGTTGATTTGTGCGAACGACATAACGAGCTAATGCTTCGGTGAAAAAAGTGGTGCCATAGTCGCGAACTACACTATCCAATGGAACACGTCTAATAGTTGGGTGTTTCGTCATCTTGATCGAGCGACGATAGTCCATGTCGGGCGGTAACCTGTCTTGTGGAGGAGGATCGCCAGCAAGGCGCCATTGGACGAAATTATTGTGCCATAACATCTTCTCGCGTCTTTCAAGCCAGAGTGTCATTTGCGTATATTCGTCTTTATGGTTAGTAGCTCTGTAAGCATCCTTTGCGAGATCAAATCTTCTTCATCATAGTTGCCAAAGTAGTCCCCTGTAAATTCAGTTAATGCTGGTGGTTCAAAGTCACTGTGATCGTCATCTGTATCCATATAAAAACTAGAATGATGTTGAAATAGAGCTGCACATGGCGGATTTTTCGTAGTGGCAAGATGATGAGAATGGCCAGCGAGCTCGAAGTTCTTAGCACAGCCTGGGCAAGTGATCATTCTGGTGGTAAAAAAACAAGGGCCGTAACAAAGACAACCTACAGCCACAAACAAAGCTTCAAGCAAAGTTCAGCGGACTACGAACTTTGTCAACCCTGCCCCAGCGCAACCCTGCAACCCTGCCCATGCAAAGTTCAGTGGACTATGAACTTTTTTCTTTAACACTGCCCACCAACTTGACCACTACATTCTTTTTACCCTCAGCGTCCTGTATCATTCAATTTCATAGCAGTACACTCTTTGAAAAGAGAAAACACTCATTCACCTTTTAAAATGCCTCCCTGTCCATCTGAGATAGCTGCTCAGAAGTGGAATGCTAAAAAAAAGAGAAAGTAGCGGCGAGACAAGTGTCTTCTGGCGCTGAGGTCGTAACCCCAGACATAGCTGATGACATCGCAGATAGCAGTGAGTACAGAGGCTGTCATAATCAGACCCAAAAAAACTCACATTCTTGCAAAGAGCTGCAACGGTCTTCAAAGAAAAAAGCACTGGAGTGCAAAGGTGAGCGCCTAAACCCATATTGTGCAAAAAAAATTATGCTACATACCTATGTCAGTCTGGAATGATACAACCAGCAATAATTGCAAGCGTGCACCAACGGTGACTGAGCTTCTGTCTGCGCCTGCAACAAAGTCAGTAAGGAAGACACTGAAAGCAGTCGAAAAGACACAGAAAGCAGTTGAAGGTGGTGGTTGTGAGAGAAGCAGTATGTGTGGCCTCTTTAAAACCGAGTTGAAGTGATACTCAACTTAAAATAGGTGTAGCTTCCACTCTCACGAGTCACAATGGTGTGTCAGTTGACACTGACGACTCTGCGAGTGAATATGGTATCAGCGACTCTGAATCCAATAAGTCAGATGTCAATTAGTGTCATGTTTCATTGTCGATATTGATGCCACTGCCCAGGGTAAAGTCCTTGGTGATCAACCTTTCTGCGACGAGGCCATGATCGATACGCTACATCAGTCATTGTTCGACGGCGAGAACTCGATCGGAGTTCAATCACATGAAGATTTTGTGTCAGTCTTAGATGGCAATGATGAGCTGGAGCTCCCCATAGCTATGGTTGCCTTGATTGCAACTGTTGTACGTTTTTTATTTGTATTTTCTAGATGAATACTTACTAAATGTGACGGTTGTTGCAGATCTATGCCATACTGATGGACTGGAGGAGCGGCAATCCACCGTCGAGCTCTCAAGTCAAATCATTCAATGCTACTGTCTACATTAGCGTTTACAAAGCCCATGAAGCAACCCTCACTCGGATCTTTGAAGGCGGTAAAAAGAAGTATCATGCGCTGATGGCACGGCTTTACAAGGCTGTCTGGTGCGTTTCATCATCCTCTGATCGAATGCCTGCCATTAACATACTATGTTAGTGTGTCGGACAATGTGTTGCTGCCATCTGGTGCGCTGAGCAACTTCGACTACCTCGATCTCAGTGCAATGTCCGAGGATTGAACTAAGGTTGTTGTGCCATGTGCACCTGTGGATACCCATGTATTACTGATCTCACTTTGTACATTTTGATAGTCGTTCGTACATACTGACAGGCCATTCTGATCCAATATAATGTTGATTTTCGTGTATTTTGACAATGACCGACGAGTGAATTCGAACTAATTCGTTGAAACTATGACCGGACTTAAATAAAACAGTAAAACATGATTTCGCTGAAAATCAAAGGAAAACCAGGGATTTACTGGAAATTACCTCGATTTCGGGGGGAAGGCTTTCCCTGATGTGACATGCAATTTGTTTTGAACGTGAAGGCAAGGTGGTTGTTAAGCGTGGCGTCACGAAGTGAATTCCCAGGTGGGCACACCGTCAGTGCCTCGCAACAGAGGCTGATAGCTGGGGTGATGTCATCAATACCCCCGGGCCCGCGTTTGTTGGAGCAGGCGACGAGGATGCCCAGGTTCACCAATGAGAAATCACGATATTCGTGTCCAACAGGGTGTAGGCACAGGACTTATTTGTGTAATGAGATGGCCTCATCGAGGTCATTATTCTGCCTTGGTGTCTGAAGCGGGACAAGAGTGATAAGGCCAAGTTGTTGAAGTAGGTATCACGGTGAGTGTGTCTCTCGGGCATAGAGACAGCCATGATGGCTGATTTCCAGCGTCTCTGGGAGTCGACATTGATATATATGTAGATGCCAGCGGGAATGCGCTAGGAAGGGACTCGCATATTGGAAGGTCAAGGGTTCAGGTCATTCTACACGTATATCTCCGTATTCAAGTTGTCGAGGGGTGTTCGGCATGATGTAGGTGCTGGTATGATTGGACTAAGCACTGGGAATGGAGGTCACCGACTACGATTAGTCGAAGAATCTGTGCTAAAATGGACGATGCGGCGTCATGATCACATCACTGAAACCCACCAAGCATGATGTGGCCATATTTACCTTATAAGGTCGGGCAAATATGATTCACCAATATATGTCTATGCGGTGGCTTGTGAAACACGTATTAGATGCCTGATCTGTGATCTCTTTTGTCCTTTGCTTGCTCTTTGGTGAACCCCATATAAGCCATTATAAACTCTCTAGGTAGTGTTCGTAATTCTACACTCCACCCTCCCAACCCCAAATCGTATTACTGATCCATAGTCACTTCTTTATTTCCGCTTGCTTTCAATACACCAATAGGAACCCAGATCGGGTTCCAAGCTAATGTTCTGATGTCTACAATTTTCCATCAGAATTGCGCGATAAAGCAGCATTTTATATAGCAATCCATTGTGACCGTAGTCAGACAATAACTTTGGGTACACTGAGATCACGCACTATGAATGTTATAGCTTACCTAGATCAATAAAAATCAAACAACAAGTATATCTAACCGCCATAAGCCCATATATTTGCTGGTGTGGTGAGGGTAAGCAGTACCAGGACTTTCAAGCTTCAAGTCACACGTGCGATGCCATTCAAGTGCGTCCCATATGGATCTGCCAGTACGAAAGGAACGATTCATCTAGGAGTCACAATGGAATACAACGTCTACACTACAATCAGCTTAAGTTGCGAGTAAGTCGACCCTAAAATTTAAAGTCTGGTCCCTCATCTTCAGATTCCCCGTTATCCTCTGAGCTACAGCCTTCGGCATCAGTGAACCCGTGAGGAAAGTAGATAGCAATAAATAACAATATATAGTACATAATCGCAAGAACTAGCATAATTTTGCTATCAACAATTACATTGTTATGTTTGGCCTTATAGAGGAAAGACGCGTCGCTGATTATCATTATCGTATAAAATTTTATGAAATGCCATAACGAAAGGGAGGTTCACAACTCTGAAGCATCAACTAATTGACCCAACAATATAAAGCTTTGCAAAGCTTTATCTAAC